ACTGATAACAGTGTGAACCTTGTAGAAGAAGTGATAAGGCATTTTGTGAGCCAGTTACAGACAAGACATTGTAGAACAATGTCATATCATCTGTGAATGAACAGAAAGATGAAATACTTGAATGAAATCTTAGACAACATGCTGATGAAATATCTAGTGAGTAAGTCTATGAGACTATGAGATGAATATCTCAGGCAGGTGCTATTGACCACGCAGATTCAACAGCATGCAGTCTTCAAGTGTTCACCATTCTACCTGTTGTATGAATTGCATCCGCGCATTCCAGAGAATGCTTCAGAAAAGATGAGGGAGAAAACAGCAGTTGCAGACACAGCAGAAACAGCAGTTGCAGATGCAGTGGAAACAGCAGTTGCAGACACAGCAGGAACAGCAGTTGTGAATGCAGCAGGAACAGCAGTTGCAGACACAGCAGTTGCAGACACAGAATCAAGATTGAAAGAGATCAGCCACACACATGTAAAAGCTAATGAGTTACTTCTGAATTAAGCAATTCAATTGAAAAGAATATGAGACTCACTTGTTAAGAAATTGAGTCTCAAGGTGAGAATGTGAGTTCTTGTATGCAATGAGAGTTCTGAGAAGTTTCAATCTAGGTGATTTGAGCTATATAAGATACTCAAATCACATTCTCTAGAAATGTACACATTGAAAGAATCAGAGAGATGAGTCTTACACAACTTAATCAATGATTCATGACTTGTGAAAGTAAAGATGCAAGACTTGAGTGAATTATAATTATCTACAGCACTATTATCAGTGTTGAAAAAGAAGAGACTTACAATTAAAAAGCCTTACAAAGTAAGAGAAATCATAGATGCTTATGAATCAGATAATCTCACTTATTCTGATCTTTTCATGATTATAAGAAAAGAATGAGAAGAAATGAAGAAATCAGATGAATATCACACTTTAATAAGTGATGAGACTGTAGCTGATTATATGATAACACACTGCAGACAGTGAGTGCAACACAGTAAAGAGCAGTTTCAAAGTAGCAGACTTGCATGTGAGTCAGATTGCAGAAGAAAAAGAAATTCAGAGTTGAATTTAACTGTTTACACCAGTTCAATCACAGAGATCACAGAGGATAAACTATCTGAAACATCTATAAATGTATGAGATCAAGTCATCTCAACCCCTGAGAACACTCAGAGATCAGATGAGATTAGTTTCAATGAGTCATTCACTGTAGTGATCTGAGCAGGTAAAGAGAGACAGTATAATGCATAAGACAGAATCACAAAAAGTTGAAAGCTGCTGAACCTAGTCACTGAACACTGTATTATATAGAGATTGTATAAGAGTAGTGACTAGCAGATAAAGAAAAAGTATAAGAAAAGAAAAGAGATAATGAATTGATCACTAACTGTAAGAGTCAGCTGTAAAAGACAAATGTTATTATATACATCTTATTCATTTTCATACATCACATGTTTAATCTATTTCCAATGCCACACCATCTGAAAAATGTCAAAAACAAAGGAAATCTCAAAACTCAAGATCTGTAAGGAATTTGAGAGTTGCAAGCTGCTCTCACAATAACACTGTGCATGTCTCTGATTTCTCTACTGCTCTATATATGACATTAATGTCATTGATTGCAAGATTGGCTGGAATGCTAATATAGAAATGCGCATGTGTATATGTAGAGAAATTGAAGAAGAGTGTGAGATCTGCAGGATCAGAAGTCAGAGCAGAGAGAATGAAGATAAAAGAAATAGAAGAAGAAGAAGACACAGAATCAGACAAATGATGAGAGTTACTCAGAGCTGAATGCTTATGATCTGATGTGTGCACAATCTTCCTCACAAGAGAGAGAGAGAAAGTGACAGAAGAAGCTTAAGAGCAGAAGAGAGTAGTCTTGACAGTGTTATCATCTTTGATCAGAATGATCTCTGACACTGAAGTAACTAAGAATCATTGTTAGCATATGAAAATTGCAAAATCAGAGATGAGAACAGTTACTGAATAAACACTCACTGATCTTAGAGTTATACATATAATTACAACACATACAAGGCTTCTCAGAAAGAGAGAGAGAGACATAGAGAAATACAGAAAGCAGAATACAGCATGTGAACAGCTCATTTTCACAATAATATCTCAGATAAGATGTATGAGTCTCACATCTGTGAATGTAAAAGAGTATGACATCTGTGTTCCTGTTTCTGAAAACATGAATATCTTTTGTCTGCATCACAAAGTTAAATGATAGATACTAGAGAATAGGCTGATACAGATCTATCATTCTGAAGAAATTCATCAGAGTGAATATTCTGATAATATTGAATTTTACAGTTGTGAAAAGTTTCTTGATATCTGTGAATGTCATGACTTTGTGCACAGTAAAACTCATAATGATTTTCTCTAAGAACAGGAAAATCAGCATCAGATTGAAAAGATGAAAAGAAAAAGACTTATAATCTTAATACTGTTGAGAAGAGAGATGATTCTCTGATATGAATAAATAATTATCTCATCATAAATATTTAAAATGAATATAATAATTGATGTCTGTGACTGAGCTTCAGATAGTTGTGTTATATACAGTCTTCATGCAATAAATTGTTCTGAGAGTTGACAAGAAGAGTGAAAGTGTATGTACTGAGAGATGTGATTTATTAAGCCTATGCAATATCTTCTTGAAATGAAGAGAGCTGATAATGAAGACAGAGGTGATAAAATCAGGAGTAGTAAGAGCGGGAGAACCAGACACAGAAACAGGTGTAGAAGATTAAGAGAGAGTGACAGAGAAAGAAACAGAGAGAGCAGAGAGAAATATAGAAGACTCAGTTATATATAATATAAGCAATTTCTTCATTATCATATTCTTCAAGTTCTTGATCAATGATTCAATATTGAGTTCACTATCATTAACAGATATGAATCTGTCAACACATGAAGATTCTATATGAATAAAAACAAACATATCAGTATCTGTGTTTATGCAAAATTATGCTAGAAAACATGATCAGAAACTCACTGAGAAGAGAAACAGTTAAGAGTGTATAAGAAAGTGAAGAGAGTGTATGAGAAGATGAAGAAGATATGTCATTCATGATAGTATGTTCTGACAATTGTTAGAAGATAAACAAGTTCTGATCATGTATGTTTCATAACATATTACACTTACTGCTAATGAACTGCCTGATATGAGCACTATGATAATACTTATTATGAGAATGAAGGGTCATTGTGAGAAACATGTATAATATGATAGATGAACAGATGAAAAGAGTTGAACAGAAGAAGAAGCAGAAATCTTGAATGAAATAGTGATATTCAATGATGATGATGATGAAGAAGATGATTGAAGAATGAGAAAAGTTAGTGAATGAGTGATGTAATATAGTGAAAGTTTCTTTGTGAGGGTGTATGCAGGACACTAGCCGGATCAGGAATAGGCCACACAATCATGAAATGCTAGTGGCGAGCTAATCCGCATGAAGCTAGGGTGTATGATATGATCATGTGAGCGTGACCGAATCTGGTGGGGGAGGATGTGGTTCGGAAGAACATATGACTGTCAGATAATAACGCGGCCGCTTCCGAACTACTAGCGTACACATACAAATGTAAAGGGGCCCTAGCGGCCGCTAATTAATTTAGCATACGAGATTCAATATATAAGAAGCCGGCGTACGCCTGTAATCGTACGCTGGCTTAAGCAACCTTTGAATCACAGCTGAAGAGTACACTCAGAATCTGATTACAGGTCTTAAAGTATTTATTAAAGATAATACTAAATAATATTCTATTACTTATTAATACTATCTGATCTGATATAATTTATAATAAGTTATAACATATCTTTAATATTTATTAAAAGTTTTTACTTTAATGATGACTTTTAAAGTCACTATTATAGCTGACTTATACATTTTCTTCAATCTCTCTTAGTTATATTTAATACAGTTGATAAGATATTATTCAACTTAGCTATTAAAAAGTGACTCAGCTATTAAAAAGAAGTATTATATAATTAATTCAGAAGTTATTAAAAGATATAATATGATGAAACTGAAGCAGTGACTAGTTAGCAGTGTCATGTAGAGATAGTTGTTTAAGAAGCTGTATAAGTGAGCTTAACTATCTTGCTTGAATAGTGAGCTTGTAGGCTACAGAGTTACTGCAAGAATATCACAGATATGATACTTAGTATACTAAGAAGATTGTATAAGATATGCAGTAACTCTTGTATATATTTCAGTAGAAGAAAAACAAATTACTGACTTCTTTTATAAGAAGTCAGCATCTAGCTATTCTATATAGATAATGAGTGAATATCTTCTCTCATTTCATAAGTGAGAATAGCTGAAGTGATATCTCAGCAGTGTCTTACTATCAAGAAAAAGTAATCTGCTGATCTTGTATAAAAGTGAGATTCTTATATTTATCAATCAGATCTTTCTATGATATATCTGAATGATATTATAGAGTGATTAAAAACTGATTCAGACAGAATGAAATTATCTGCATGAAAGCAATAAGCTGTGTGAAACTGTAATAAGATCTTAACACAGCTGAGAGTGTGATAATACTCTTCTCTTTAAAAGCATAGTCTCTATACTCTCAAGATTACTGAATTAGAAGTTATCTTTGTTGTATAACAACAGTTATTAACTGATTAACAGTATATATGCTATGTATGATACAAAGAAATAGATGAGTTTTTCTGCTGACTGTGTAGATCTTTCTTTATTCATCTTTATTTAAATTAAACACATAATAAGTGAGTTTCTTATATATTAATTTAAGATGAGAAAAATGTAGTTAACAAGTGACTTGCAGATCTCTCATCATATTCTGTTCTATATATAGAATTCTCTGCAAAAGTAATGTATTTTAGAGACAAAGTTAACAGTAGTGACAGGATTTTTTGAAAAGATTTTCTCTCTCTATGAAACATTTTTCTTCTCTCTCTCTCAATTATAACAGTGAGTGTCTGAGAGTATTATTCTTGAAGAATAATAAAGAACTTATTCTGATGTTTTTCTAGTGAATAAATGTCTTTGTGATGCAGCTGCAGTCTTCATAACTGTTAAGAAAGCTTGATTGAAGACAGAGACAGTAGTGTCACTGAGCTGCAGACAAAACCGCTCCACCACGAACTCGCTCGATTTTTCGAATAAGAACCCGCCGATAGATCCATCGAAAAGCCCTCGATCATACGAGCATTTTGACCCCATCGCCGACCGCATACCCCGTGTGGTGGTGGAGTTATCCAGCCAAACATGAACCAGACGTCGTTCGGAACTCCTGCGTGGGATTATCCCCCATTCTCCCCTACCACACCACAACCCCGGGCCAAATTGCCATACAAATTGTAAGGTGAAGAGACCTAGCCATATGCACCAATCTTCTCGATTTTGGAAGATCCCCGATCTGTAGTTGTGGAGATATCTGAGGAGTGACCTCCGCGAAAACCCTGTCCATCTTTGATGTTCCAAAACACCAACGCCAAGTCCCACCCTCGTACCGCCCTTCCCAATCTGGCCCATCCCCGGCAGAAAAATACAAAAAGATACCTCAGTGATAATATCAAGCACATAATCAACAGCCACTTCTGAAGTGCAACCTCTGTGGTCTGTCTTCAGTGTATCATATCTAGACATCAACGCCAAGTCTCACCCTTGTACCATCCCTCTCAACCTGGCTCATCTCTGACAGAAAAGTACAAAAAGATACCTCAGCAACTGTACTTGATACATAATCAGCAGACATGACAACTATAAAATCAGTATATCTCAAGATCTGACTGAGCCTTTGATCCCTGCACAGTGAGATATATTAAATCTAGTTTTAATATCTCAATATTTAATAGATTCTGCAAGGGATTGAGAACAGCAACACTAGGTTTCTATTGAATTTAAGAATTAACTCTATATTGATATAATCATTGATAAAGTCTTCTATTTTGAGATATAAATAATCAGTTCCTCTACATCCTGCTGACAATATTTACATTATTATATAGAAACAGACTTATATTCTCTATAATATCAAGACTCTGAAGAGAGAAAGTCTTGATAGAGAGTATACAGTAGTGTATATCTTAGCAGTTTCTATCTCATTCTTCTGCAGCAGTTAATGCAATAAAAAAAAAAAGATCTTAGAAATAGTTTTTTACTTCTCTTGAAAAAGTAAGGTGTTTTTCTCTGAGTTTTATATAATATTCTTATCAAGAATTAAAAACACAGTTGTTTTCTGTCATAATTTCATATTCTTTTAAGTAAGAATTACTTTTTCAGTGGCTGAAGAGCTTTCATTAATACTTAATTCTCTTTTACACTCTTTATTGACTGATTTGAGTTGTACACTTGTTGTGTGAGAAGAATTGAATGATTTAGAATAAAATTGAATAGTTTTAATCAATTTCTCTGCAAAAAATTGACTTATTTTTTATCAGTTTTTCTCTCAAAAACTGTCATATTATCTGATTCATTATCAATTGATATCATACTTTTCCTCACTGTATTTCAAGAAAGAGTTTGTAAAGATTTTATTGATTTATCTTAAAAATCACTTTTAGTTTATTAGATTCTCTTCAAAAATCTAACCTAGTTACTGAACTAGTGTGAAAAAAATCAGGTGTTTTATACACAAAAGTCTTTCATTCTTCTTTTGAAACAGTCTGACCAACTTTTCAATTGAAAATAGACTAACAAATCTCTCAACTGAAACAGTCTGATCAACTTTTCATTTGAAAATAGATTAATAAATCTCTCAATTGAAACAGTCTGACCAACTTTTCATTTGAAAATATACTGATAAATCTCTCAATTGAAACAGTCTGATCAACTTTTCATTCAGTGAGTAAAATGAGTTCAAGAGTACACTCAGTTGATGTGGAAAAAGATGTTTTCCCAGATGTCATTCCTGAAATTGAAATTCTAAAGAGAAGAAAGAAGGAAGAAATAGAGAAATAACAAGTTCTTGAAATACAGGAACTGGAAAAAGCAAGCAAAATTCTTGAAAAACAGTGTCTGAGTGAGGAGAATGAAGAAGTTCTGTTAATTCTTCATACTCAGACTAGACAACTAAAAGAAGTGATCAAGTTCAAACTTGGAATTTCAAACACAATTCAAAAAACATTGAAATCTTTCAGTACAGTCACTGACTCTTTTTCATCTTCTACTTCTTCATCTTCTTCTTCTTCAAATCAGAAGAAAACATATGCTCAAGTAGCAGAATCTGCTGTCTTCAAACCTGTTAGTTCAAAATCTGCTCAAAATTCTGAGAAAACTGAGAAGAATATTTCTCAGACCTCCGTTCATAGAAAGAAAAAAAAAGAAATTCAAAAAGAGAAGAACTTTCAAATCTTCAGAAATAGAAGACTTATTGTCAAAGTCTCAAATCAGAAGAGCTTGCAAAAAAACAAGCTAAACTCAAATCTTATTTTCAGAATTAGAAATGAAATTAACCAGCAGTTCTTTTCTCAGTTAATGACTGATATTGAAGTTCAAAAACCAGTCATAGCTTCAATTGAGCTATCTTTCTTTGAAAACTCTATTATTTTGACTACAATGCCTGAATTCAGTGCAGAATTCCTCATTCAGAATGAGAATCTCTGAAAATCAGCAATAGAATCTCTACTGAATACAACAATTCTATCTGAAAGAGATGAAAAGTGAGATAAATTCATTCTTCATAATATTTCAATTGAAATTTTTGACTGTGAGGAAGGAATGCTGCTTCTCAAAAATGAATTAGAAGAATACAATTCTATTCAACTGAGAAAAGAGCCTGTATGACTTAATTCAATTGAGTTCAGACAGAGCAGAAGAAATGCCTCTGTTCTAGTGTATACAAAGACACTTGAACAATCAAGAATCTCTGAAGTAAGAGTAGCAGGTTCAAAAATGAGAGTTCATGAATACAAAGATTCAAGAATGAACCTCAAAGCTCAAACACAGTGTTCAAACTGTCAAAGATATGAACACTTTGCAATCTCTTGTTTCAGAGACTCAAAATGCGCATTCTATGCTAGAGATCATAAAACTAGTGAGCATAAATGTGAAACATGCTCAAAAAGAGATGAAATATGTCAACATACTCTGCTTAAGTGCTTCAATTGCAAAGAAAAACATGCATCTAGCTTAAAACAATGTGTATTTGCTTCAAGAACTCAGAAGAACTGAAGAAAAGATGAAGCTCAAAGTGAATCTAAAACTGAAGAGAAAAGTCAAGCTAGTAAATTCACAACTGCAAGCTTAAAAAGAAGAAACTCTCAACTATCTAGGTCTTCAAACTTCAATTCTCCAGCTAAATGTAAACAGAATTTGAATCCTCAAACATCTGTTAAGATTAGAGAATTGAGAAATGACTCTGATAATAAACTAGATAGAATGCAAGCAGTTGAGATTCCTGCTTTTCAAAATAGTTATAATCTACTATCTAGTGATAGTGATTAGATTCTACTATATCTTCACTCTCTTTTAGTATGAATGTACAACAAAAACAACAAAAAAAGTTTAAAAAGTCTTCAAAAATCACATTTATTCAAAACAATGTGAATAGAAACTCAAATTGCATTTATTCTTGTCTTCAGATTGCATTTGAACAAAAAGTTGACTTTGTACTTCTTCAAGAACCAAACTTTGATACTGAGTAAAAGTACATCATTTCTCATTCAAGCTATTACTGCTTTCTTCCTGAAAAATCTGAGATAAAATCAAGAGTAGCAATCTATGAGAGAAAAAGATCAAGATATCAATTTAATCTGAGATTTGATATCATATCTGACTCTGACATTCTAGTGAGTGACATTATAGATAAAGATGATGAGTTTGATACTATTCAACTTATAAATATCTATAATGAAAAATCATTGAAAGAAAACAACAATATCTGAACAATTGATAGAGGATTTTTGAATATAACTCCCTTAAAAAACTCTATAATTACAGGGGACTTCAATGCACATCATCCCTGATGAAACTCAGAGTGCACAAGAGCAGTAAGAGCAGATAAACTGATTGAATGAACTTTTGAGCATTCAATAGATTTAGTTAACAAGTCTGATCAACAAACATTCTTTAGAAAAGGCATGAAACAGAAATCTATTATAGATCTAACTTTCATGTCATAAAATCTAATTAAAAAAAGACTTATAAACTGGTTTATTGATTCAAATGAAACCTCAGGATCAGGTCATGAGATCATTCAATTTGATATTGAACTGAGTGAAAAACAAAGAAGTGAAAATCCTCTTCTCTCTAATCAGTATAACTTTGATAAAGCTGATTGAAAAGCAGTTGAAGAAAGAGTAAAACAGCTGAAATCTGAACAGCAGAGTGAGCTCTATTGAAATCAAAGTCAAGATATATCAAATGAAATACTTGAGAATAGAGCAAAGCTGATTACATCTATTCTTCTAACAAGTATTGAAGAAAATATTTCAAAGAAAAAGTCTTCTGAGTATTTCAAACCTTGGTGAAATGAGAATATCACTTCTAAAAGAAAGCAATTAGCCACTGCTAAGAGAGATTGAAAGAATCACTTAATATCTGATGAAGAGTTCAAAGCTATTCAAAATGAATATTTTTCAGATATTAAAAAAGTCAAAACAGATTGCTGAAACAAATTTCTTGAAGAAGCACAAGGAAAAGAAGTTTTTAAAGCCTTCAACTATACTAAAACAAGAAGTGTAGCAAAGCTTCCAACCTTAGAATATGAATTTCAGAATGAATTATATACAGCAAATTCTTTTGAGGAAAAATGTCAAGCTTTTATGAGAATTCTCTTTCAAAACTCATCACATTTAGAAGAGGAGAATATGTCATTTCATGAATATATTGATGAAAATAACTGGGAATGGCCTGAGCTTATATATGATGAACTAGAGTCAGCAATATTCTCAAGTTCAATTAAAACTGCTGCAGGGCCTGATTCAATTAATCACTCAATTATTCAAAACACATATTTCTACTTGAAGAATGAATATTTTGAGCTCTTTTTCAATCTCTTAAAAAATGGTTATCATTCTGAATGCTGGAGAGAAGCTACTGGAGTAATTCTTGCAAAACCTAATAGAAAGGCTTCAATTTCTAAGTCATATAGAGTAATATCTCTGTTGAACTGTTTGAGAAAAATTCTAGAAAAGATAATAGCTACTAGATTATCTTTATTATTATTATTATTCTTCAATTATAGATGTATGCAGTCAGAGACTATGACATCTACCTGAGAACTTTAGTTCTCAGGGTTTTTTCTATGTCTGTAAAGTTAACTATTGTACATTCATCAATTTCAGATATACAAAATCAGAAAATTCCAGCTCAGAATACAAAAACTGTTTACAAATTGCAGTGTTTTAACATCTTTTGATACTTTGTAACCATTTGACAATATCATGACAAAAGAAAAGAGAGAAAGAACACAGTCTCAAAGATAGACACATTAAATAGATAGATAGAAAGAAATTGAAAGGAAAAGATACAGAAAAAGAAAAAGTAAAGAGAGACTATAACAAAACAAATTCTTAAAAGAGAGTGTATAGCTGTTTTAACAGACTATATCTGATTGATTTCCTCCTCTTCATATTCAGATAATTCTGAATTTAGCCATTTTCTTATAG